AGGGAAACAGTGCTGCTTGCCAGACTTGCTTCTTGCCAGTGTCTACCTGTTGCTGACAATGAAACCCAGCTTCTGGGCCTCCAGCTCTTCAGACTGGGGCTGCTGAGGCATCTAATCCCAGACTCTGAGCCTCTCTAACACACAGACCGCCGCTGAAGAACACCCAGTCCCTATCAGCTGTAAGCCATTCTTGGAAATCCTCTCTCCTAACGCACATACACATTCTATCAGTTCTTTCCTTTAGAGACCGTGACTCATACACTGAGCTCTGGGCCAGTCTGAAGTAGACCCTATCTCAAAGAGCAGAAATAGTAGCAGGCACAAGGGTATCAGTGTGTGATCCCCTTCAAACACCAACACCCCATCTCAACAGAAAGAAGACTAGAAATGCCTTCAAGAGCAAATCCAGTGACTCTTTCTTACATACCCGCTTTAGAGACTTTGATAAAATGTAGGGAAGAAGCTCATTTATACATATTAAAAAAAAAAAAAGAGTTTGGGGGGACATGCAGCACTCTTCACAGGAAGCAGTAGGCCAGTCACTGTCAGGGTGGTCACTGAAACCCTTGCTGTAAACGGATGATACTCCTTTCAGAAATCTAGAGATCTGCTTAACTGTTGATCATACTAAAATTAACAGCATTTCTTTGTTGTTGTTAAAAAAAAAAAAAAAAGCATTTGCTTCTAGGGACAAGAGAGAAGAGTGACAGGGAGCTTAAGAAATGTCTGTCAAGCCCAAAGCCAATATTTGAAGAGTGAAACTCAAGTCTGCCCCTTTCCTATTCTGTAATCTGGCAAAAACGTAAATCCCTAGGGAATTTGATTGAACTCTTATTTAAGACGAATGAAAACTGTAGGTAGCACTTCAAGGAAAAGACTCAATCTTGGCATCCTATGTACTGGGCAAGGACACTACCACAGAACCTCTACACCACAGCCCCAACAGAGTTTTCTTAAAAGGAACCCTTGCCACAACGACACTCATGTGTCATATACACTGTCATATACACTGAAACACAGGGAAATGTCAATTTCATATCAGCCAGATACAGGAAGCCAAAGGGATCAAAGCAAGCAGTGAAGTCTCTAGACTTCAGATAGCACACAGCACTACATAAATGATACTGCTGTTAACGCTGAGTCCACTAACCAGCAGGGATCTGCCCTCAACAGAGCAGAGCAGAATTATGTAACTGTGCCATTGTATCCATCCAGCATTAAACATTCCTGGTTGTAGTCGGGGACACTGCTAAGGGTCCTTCAAGTGCTCTCCCCAGGCACTTTTCCTCGCAAACACGGTTTCATTACATCTGCAGAAGCTTGTGCATAAACCAAGCTATTGGAACACATGCAAGAAAGGTTCTCACAGCTAGGTAAAAATATAAAGGATATACCTTTTCTGTATTGTGACCAGTACAACAACGACAAAACGTAAAACCCCGCCAGTCCAAAGTGTGGTCCCCAGTGTCCTGGCAACACAGCTTATCAGCTGGGGTTGTCTGACACAGAAGCTGAGGAGCACCAAGGTTAGAGCACGGAGAGAACAAGAAGAACAAGATGAACGATACAAAAGTGATAGAGAAAGCACAAAGCAAGACGGAAACTATTTAACTCTAAGCTTGTGTATGCTATTCTTGATGTTTCCTTATTTCCAAAAACTAATGAAATTCTATCATTTTTCACAGTAAAAACCCAAGGCTTGGGCTGGAGAGATGGCTCAGTGGTTAAGAGCACTGTCTGTTCTTCCAGAGGTCCTGAGTTCACTTCTCATATGGTGCCTCAAAACCATGTATAACGTGATCTGGTGCCCTTTTCTCGCATGCAGGTGTATATACAGATAGAACACTCATATGCATAAAATAAATAAATAAATCTTAAAAAAAGTTTGAGGCTTATTGCAAAACAGCAATACGACAATACTTTGTAAGGAGCACTCAGCGCTCAGAATGCCAGGTACCATTCTTAATGCTTCCTAGGGATTAATCTGGTTGCTAGAAGCCAAGGGACTGTCCTTGTTTTATAGAGGAAAAAACGGACACAGAGAAGCTAAGGGGGCTTGAGGCAACGCAAAAAGGCCAGCAAATGTCGTATCTGATCCCTGACCCTTTCCTTAGTTCGCTACAGTGGTTTTCTAACTATACTGTGAAGACCACTTTATAGATCTACTTTTAAAAATCATGTAAAAGCCAGGCGTGGTGGTGTGTGCCTATAATCCCAGCACTCGGGGAGGGAGAAGCAGGCAGATTGCTGTGAGTTCCGGGCCAACCTGGCCTACAAAGCGAGTCTAGAACAGCCAAGGCAATAAAAACCCTGTCTCAAAAAACAAAACAAACAAATATCATTTAAAATCTTCAATAAAAGAACTGGGGAGATAGCTCCGTGGTTAAGAGTACTGGCTACTCTTAAACGGGAACCTCACCTGTTTCCCAGCACCCACATGGTGGTTCACCATCATCTGTTACTTCAGTCTCAGGGATGTGACAACCTCTTCTGGCCTCTTCCAGTACCAGGCATGCAGGCAGCGCACAGACACGTGTGGGCAAAACACCCACAGACATAAAGGAAAATAAACTTTGAAAAGACTGCAATGAAACACCGCAAACAAAATGCGAGCAGCCTGACTATAATACACCGAGGGGAAACTGCTAAGGTTCTGCTACCATGTGAAGTCACCCTTGCAGAGGCCTTGCAGTGAGGCCAGTCCCTACCTCCCACATCCTACTTGTACTTCTTGTGATTGTTTTACTGATTTGAAGGATACAACTATTGTTCGCATTATTTAGTTTTGCTCTTAAACTCACCCCATCTACCTGCTCAGGTAAAACTGCACACTGAGCATGCCCCGTTCAAACGCACCTTTGTCAGAAGGCACACAACTAGCAGATACTTCAGTCCAGTTTCCCACCCCCTCCCCCACCCCTGCCAGCTGCTGCTGAACCCAGGGCCTCTCCCAGGCAAGGCAGGTCCCTAACAATAACCTGTATTCCCACCTGTAATTGTGACTTTTAGGGGATCTATTTCTTGACCCACCTAAGGTAAGAACTGAGAGAATTCTGGAAACTTCCTATTATCTCTTATTAGTTCTCTTTTAGCCCCAGAATATTTACTCAACGATTGCCTGAGGTATCGAGAGAAATTGTTAGATGGGGGAAAAAAAAATCTCTAAAGTTTAACACTTCATTTCAGCACAGACCCTCACGGCTACCCTCTGGATCTTGCGCCCACCATCCCCCTGCACTGCGCTCAGCAATCATTCTCACTCTGCTCTTCAGTTTCATTGTGTTCACAATTCCACTGACCATATGCCGTCGGCTGTCTGATTGATCATCAGCACCCCCCCACTTCTGCTGTTTATTCTGAGCTACCACTACACAGTCACTTTGGCCAACACCCTGACTGCTTTGGTGTTTTGTTTTGTTACAGGTATATGAAAACCTTCAAGCTTGTTGAGGCATCTGTAAGATTTCATATTAGTGTTTCTGATGTTTTCTTTTCAAGGGCATTTAGGAAATTCACTAACCCCAAAATAAGCTACCCCAGTCTCAAAGCAGTTGGACACAACTAGGGGTGAGCGGGGCAGGGAGGTTGCCGCACTGTACGTTCAGAGTCACCGTCATCCACAAAGCCTGGTGTGCTCTCTGCAGCCATCTCCCTTTTTCAAACACTTTCTACTTTTCTCAAACTTTGGACTACTGTCCCTTTCATGTCTTTGCCGAGGACTCTAACTCCAAATCTGAAGGTACGGCATTCATTCCACTCTCCCGTTTATCCTGAGCACGAGTAGCCTTTGCCACATCATCTCAGGAATGCTGCACCGTTACTGCTCTCTTCTCTTATATAATGTATAGCAACAGTTCCCTTCTCGAATCTATCTTGCTCACGGACATTCCATCCACTACCTACAAGGATTCCATCTAAAAACCGTTTATTAATAAGCACCTCTCTACTCAACAATTCGAACCTCTGCTCCGAGGTATGTGATGCCCCAAAGAAAAGTCTCACAACAGAATCGCTGCACACACAGTGGTAATGAACCGAATGTCACACACATAGCTGAATTACCTGGTCAGCAACACTCTCAGAAACAGCCTACACGATCCCCAAACTCCCATTTTTAAACCTGTTACAATTAACAGCTGTGCTAGCCAGATAAGTAGAATTCGTTGGCATTATGTTAATAACCAGTAAACAAGGCAGCGTGATTTTGTGTTACTAGGTCTAGATTAGAGAGGAGAGGAAGGAGAAAGCAACAAATGTTCCAGCTACAGCTTTTTTTTTTTTTAAGAGCTAAAAATATTGCTGGATAAATTGAGAAACCCTATGTGACACTTAAGAAGTTTGACAGCATAGCGATACATTTATAACGAATCATTTGAAGGGAGTCCTGACATTCCCACTTCTCATTCCCTTCGCCTGCCCTGAACAAGCAGTTCAAACACAAGACTGTTCCTTAACACTGAGCGGCTCTCCTGACAGCTGTTTACATTAATTAAAGGTTTGGTCTCCCAGGTCTGGGTGAGAGAGAGAGAGGGAGAGAGAGAGAAGGAAGAGAGGGTTGGAGCCGAGAATCCTGCCAGCGCATTCACCTGGGATACCCTTCGGAAAGATGCCCGCCTCTTTCTTGAGGGCACCCCACACACTCCCCCGCCTCCAGCTCCAGTGTTCCAGCAGGCATTGCCGCTGGGGCTGCCTGCGACTCGAATGTGTTATTTAATTTTCTAACTACTATTAAGATACCTCCAGCGCGCGCGCGCGCGCGTGTGTGTGTGCGTGAGATGCGCTGGAATGAAAGATGCTCCATAAAATGAAGTTTATTATTAGCATTATTATAGCCCACGGGCCTAAAATAAAGCAAAGACTATAACCACATACACTTCACAGGGGAAAGGGGGAAGCACGGCTCAGCAGCCTCCACCGGACCCCTCCCCGGCGCCGACCTTTAACCCTCGGGACCGCCGACCCGGGGACGGCCGCCCTCCCGGTCCGCGCACGGCGCTCACCCGCCGACTCCCCGGTGTTGATCCAGTCCGGGTTGGCGATGCTGGCGATGGCGAAGATATCGGCGGCCAGAAAGAGACATCCTGAGATGATGGTCAGTTTATCCATCGCCCCGCCCCGCTCCCCCCACCCCCCACCGCAGGGCAGGCCGCGGCCTCACGCCTCGCGCCCCATGGGCCGCCGGGCCCCGGGGTCCCCGCGCCGCCGCCCTCGGCCCTCGGCCCGCGCCGCGCGCTCGCGCCCTCCGCGCCGGGACCCGCAGCCGCCGCCCGCCCCGGAACTGCTCGGCCCGCCCGCCCCTCACCCGGAAGCGAAACCGCGCGCCGGCCGGCGGCGCCCCGGACTGCCCTGCAGAGTCCGTCGGAGGGCCGGTCGCCTCAGCCCGGTGCTGGGGGCTGCTGGGGGCTCGGCGGTGGTTCCGGACGGAGACTACCAAGATCGTAAAGATTTGTCCTGTGAGGATTAGGTGCAGACTATTCCAGAGACAGGAGACAGCCGTTAGGGAGAGAGAAAGTGGAAGGATTGTCCTGTTCGGACCTGCAGAATGGCCCGAGTGACCAGAGAGTGGTTTGAGGAGAGGTAGGCACAGGCCAGTGATGGGATCCAGGGTGGGCACGCGCCTGCAAATAGCAGCACTGGGGAAGCGGAAGCTGGAGAGTCAACAGTTCCATGACAGCCTAGGCTAAATAGTGAGATTTTGTTCCAGGTGCTGTGGGAAGGAACTGGGGCTGTCGACAAGGATAGTGACGCGACCTAACTAAGTGATGATCCATCGTGTAAAAAGATTGTAATGGGTCAGGGACGGCGGATGGAGGGACACCAGAAATGGCCAGTTAGTCGAAGACAAAGAATAGGCTCTTAGCTAGGGTAGTCAAGATAGAGAAAAATGGACAGAAGGAAGGACTTGCTGATAACAGGGAAGGAAATGAAGAACCTGAAGTGCTCGTTAGTTTGCGCCAACTAGGTGTTTAGGGATACTGTTTACATAGTGAGGGTGTGGGGAGAGCCCAAGATTGAATGCCCAAACAGGAAAACAGTAATAGAGGTTGCTGCGATAACAGAGGATTTGCTCACGGTTTTGCTGTCCCCTGGAAGTTTCTTTCCACCATGGCTCTGCTAAATCAGCATTAACCCTGACTCTAGATCCATCTTTTTCTCAGCACTCCATAGAGCAAATGGAGATGGTTTTTCTGGTCAAGTACCACCTAAGCTATCTCTAGAAAAGACCTAGAAGAGTGACATCTGTCTCTATTTTTGGAATGTGTACACGTCCACAAAACTCAGCAGGTTTCAAATTCCACTAATCCCAGCATCCTTGCAGAAATGTGCAGGGATCTCAGTGGCACCACATAGTTGGAGAGAAAGGATTTGATTGCTGGTCTAAAGAGTTTTCAGCCCCAACACTGATCTCTTGGGGCAAGTATTTTTTAAAGTACATATTTAATGACATTATTTTTCCTCTGCCAGAGACACTGCCACAAACTAATTCATATATTCTGAGGATCCAGATAGAATGCCTATCAGTTTACTGTGGAAGCTCTTCACTTTCTCTTTGAAAGGACTGGGAAAGTTTGAAGGAGCCATAGTTTTGGCTTCTTTTTCTGCTGTGTTGATTGCCCAGAACAAAAGAAGCTGTAACTATGCAGAAGGGAATTCCTGACTAATACCCACTGATGTTCATAACTGGCCAAGGTCAAATGTTGAAAAACTTTGCAACTGTTTTGACTTGACTCCAGCTCTGTAGAATGATACTGCCTTGGTTCTTGTGTTAAAAAAAAATACACACACACACACACACACACACACACACACGTATAAATTCTCCTTTTTACCTTCACAATATTTGCCAGAACTTCTTGGTATTTATTTCTCCATCCAAGACACTAGACCTCAGATTAAAGTGTGTGTGTGTGAAGGATGAAAGCATCTTTTCCCATTAGGCTACTGGTTGCATATCATTGTAGTAGCAGTGATTTACCCTTCCTTTTCTTACTACCTAGGATAGGGGTGTAGTTTTCAGGAGCCAAATACACTGTTCACAGAATTGCCATTATTTCCCACTTTAGCCTTGCACTATATTTGTGTTTTCCAATAGCACTGGTAATTCAGAGTTCATGTCTCTGAGGTACAAGGACAAAACAGTTTTCTTTTCTATAGCTCTACCTGGGTTTTAATAGAAGCAAAGCTCAGGGCCTTGGGAGGGAGGGAGGGAGAAAGAGGTAGAGTAAAAAGGATGCAGAAGTATGTTCTAATTCCAGCCCTGCTGCTGATTTGAACTTGAGAAATCCATGCCCTTGCTTTGGGCATTTTCCTCCTATCTCCCCCAACAGACTTTCTGTGTGATAGAAGTATCCCATCCCTCACCTGAACAAAACAGCTGGGATCTTTCTGTTCAGAGATGAGCCACCATGCTCCTTATGGCAGAAAGTCCTTGGGGACCCAGAAGATCATAAAAGGCCCCAGGAGGGATCTATGCTGGCAGTCTGAAGACATAAATAGCCATACTGTGGCTGTAAAAGGCTGTGAATATAGCGTGCTTTATTGTGATAGATGGTAGGGCTCAGCTCAGAAGAGGCTGAATCCAGATGGGACTTCAGGGAGAAGTGGAAGAAACTGCCATCACTGTGCACTTGAAGGAGTGTCTTTGGCCTGACAGGATAATGAACACACTGCCTCTGTTCAGGTCAAGTTTACTACATGGGCCAAGAGAGTGGTAGATGTGTTGCCTATGGGAACCTGGGATTCTTAAGGTTGGAGAAAACGGAAGCGAAATCCAGAGATGAGGAGCTTAGACCCAGGGCTCAAATGGCGGTCTGTCTTGTAGGTTGGTTCTCTCAGAACCATCTCCGAGATGAAAAGTTATTGATCGGTGGTGCGTAGGAAGTTTATTAGGGAGCTCTTTCAGGACCAGTTCCTGTGTAGGAAAGGAAGGAAGTGGAAGTGGGCAGGAGTCAGCTGCAGGCACCGGAGGCTTTGGCTGAAAGAGAGCTCTCGAGCTCAGGTGGTCAGGACAAAGCTTTCTAGCACTGACCAGCTTTAGGTGCTAACTACCCCAGAAATTGTGTGTAATCTTGGAGAAGGCAGCCTATTCAGCCAGGGACATTTCTTCAAGAAGACAGCAAAGGACAGGGTGATGGCTCATTCAATAAAGTGCTTACTGGGCAAACATGAGGTCTTGCTTAGAACCCAGACATATCGCCTGTGATCCCCCAGCTGGAGGAAATGGAGACAGGAGGACCCCTGGGGCATGCTGACCTGATAGTCTAGACAAATTGTCGAGCTTAAGGTTTAAGGAAGGCCGTATTTTTTGTTTTTGTTTTGAAAAGGAGGAGCCAGGCAATAGTGGCCGAACCATGCCCTTACAAGTGGTGCATGCCTTTAGTCCCGGCATCTGGGCGGCAGAGGCACAGATCTCACTCCTATGGCAGTGGAATGTGAGCCAGTGAGATGGCTAAGTAGAAATGCACTTGCTTTTAGAGCCTAATGACCTGAGCTCAAGTCTTAGGACCTGCAGGGTAAAGAACCACCTCTTCTGACCCCTTCACACTGACCATGACACATGTATACCCATCCACACATGTTCATATAGAAATAAATGTGAGTTCAAGGCCAACCTAGTCTACAGAGTGAGTTCCAGGACAGCCAAGGCTACACAGAGAACCTCTGTCTCTCTGTCTCGAAAAACAACAACAAAAAGGTGGAGAGTGGCATCGACCTCTGTCCCCCCTACCCCCACACACACACTCTGGTACACATACACAAACACCCTTCTAGCTGAGATCACTCGACCTACAGCCCTTCCTATAGCTGGAGATTAGTCCCTCTGCCCTTGGTACCTGGATTACACAGGCCACCATTTGCTCTGCAGGTACATTTTGTAATATATTCTGTAACTAAATAATCGAAGTATGTTTGTGTTTTTTCATTTTTGAGACAGGGTTCCTTTGTGTAGCTTTGGTTGTCCTAGGACTTGCTCTGTAGACCAGGATGTGCTCAAACCCGGAGATCCACCTGCCTCTGCCTCTTGAGTGTGGGGATCTTTAAAAGGCAAGTGCCACTACTGCCAGCCTTTTGACAGGAGCTTATGTAGTCCAGGCTGGCATGAAATGCAAGAGCTGGGGTGACAGATGTGTGATGCCATGTCTGGCTAGTGATCTTTCAATTCCTCAGTGTCTTCAAATAAAGGAAAAAGAGACACACTAATCTAGCGATTTGATTTCCCTTCCCATCACCTATTCTTGGGACATGCTTACTCAGATTTGATGAGCCACTCCCACTGCAGTGAAATGGGAGCCAGCAAGATGGCTCAGTAGAAATGCGCTTGCTTATGGAGTCTGATGACCTGACTCAATTCTTAGCACCCCCACGGTAGAATGAAAGAATCAACTCTTCTGACCTACACACCGACCATGACACATGCATACCCATTCACACATGTACATATAGAAATACATGCAATAAACATTGAACTGTGGTCCTGCTGGCCTAAATTTCACTGTGTAGGCAAGACTAGCTTTAAATTCACAGAGATCCACCTGCTTCTGAATGCTGCTCCTGCTCCTGAATGCTGGGATTAAAGTACCTCAGTATCAATCTGAGAAAAAAAAAAAATTGAAAAGTATATAGAAGGTTGAGTGTGGGGGCACATCCCTGTAATTCTTGTCTTTGGTAGGCTGAGGCAGTAGGACCATGAGTTCCAAGAGCAGCCTGGGCCACACAGAGAGACTGTCCATAAAACAAAATAAAACAGAAAGCTTATATTTCTTTTTATGGTTTAGTTGTCGATTTTGATTTTTTTCTTTCAGGGTCTGAGAGTAGCTCCTGCAGGACGGTGGTGGCCCTCTTGCGGGATGGGGACACTGCTATCATTTTCCTCTCTTACAATTCCACCAGAACCTCTAATGTAACTTACATGGTGAGGTGGCTTAGGCCCTCATTTCCAGTGTAAGGCCCTTGTTGCTATATATTTTTCAAGATGTAGTTGTTACAGTCACCCATTTACTGTAAGAGCAGGACAGGAGAATGCTGTGACAACAAGACGGATCAGCTGAGTGCCAGAAAGTCCTCCCTATCTCTGTTTGTAGCAGTAGTCTGCTGTTTTCTAAGGGTTGTTATTGCTGACGACTCTTGGATCAATGTATCTTATCGTGAGTCCATGATCTATGTTAGTACATCTTCCTCCGCTGTTATGCCATCCCATTTATTTTGGATTTTAGAGCTTCCCTCTGCCAGAGACTGCCTAAGTCCACTTAATTATTGGTCCTCATTCCATTGGTGGTTCAGATCCCGAATCCCTTCTTAGCAGCCACACTTCAGGTTATCTCTAGCACTTGATGCCACAGGTTGGTTGAGTTCTCTAGAAAAGAGGCTGAGTTGCAAGGAATTATTAGGGAATGCTTTTGGGCCTCATGTCTCTGTGTGGAGGAAAAGAGGCAGGGCTGGGCAGAAAGCTAGAGGGTATAAGGCAGCCATGGCAAAGCCACAGCGAGGCTTGTTGGGAGATCTGGGATGACCCTGCACTGGTCACTCGCTGCTGGAGGGAAATGAGATCCTGGCAGAAACTTCCTAGGCTGCAGAAGGAGATGGAGGGGAGGTCAAGTTATTTAGTTCTGAACTGGTCTGGACAGCAGTGTCCCTGAGCTTGTGTCACACATTTCGCCTAGTCAGTATGACTTCTGAAGACTGAAAGAAGACCGATGCGCACCATCCCCACATTTTCTAATCATTCTCCCACTGGCAGGAGGATGGAGGTAAAGGTTGCATTTTGCGATAAAGTACACTTGGCACCTGAGTAGATTCCAGCCAGGGTGGAAGAGGAAAAGGGTGGCCTATCACAAGAAATGCAGCAGGGGCTTCCCTTTGCACAGAACACTGCGAGAAGGGATCTAGCCAATGAAAATCTGTCTTGGTTTATTGTTTGGATAGAGCTAGAGAAACAGATGACCCAGTTGAGACATACCCAGGTTCATCCTAAAAATCTTGGTACAGTGCCTGACTTCCAATAGGTGTTTGCTTACTATTTGTTAAAGGATTTGATACGCTGGGACAAGGTGGTTAATATATTTTTCATCAGAGTGGTGATCCAGTTCATTATGCTACTTTCTAAAATTTATTTCCCATAATTTACAGTTTCCTAAAATTCTCTCCATATGTGTTGAAAATACAGGTTCCAAGCTGGTCAATGGTGTGCACACCTTTAATCCAGCACCCCAGAGGTGAGCGGATTTCTGTAAGTCTGAGGCTAGTTCCAGGACAGCCGAGGTTACATAAAGAAACCCTGTCTCTGAAAACAAAACAACAAAAGAAAGAGAGAGAGAGAGAGGAGAAATAAATAAATAAAGAAAAATAAAGAAAGGAAAACATAATTTCCAGTCAGGTGGTGGTAGCTCATGCCTTTAAACCAGCACTTGGGAGGCAGAGGCAGGTAGAGCCCAGCCTAGTCTACAGAGTGAGTCCAGGACAGCCAGGCTACACAGAGAAACCCTGTCTTGGGGAAGTGGGGAAAAAGATAAAAAAAGAAAATACACGTTCTAAGAGGATAAAGTCCCTGTTTGTCTCATCTATGCTCATGTCCTCAGCATCCCCGCAAGCCACATGGTGGTTTCTGGGGACTTTTTGTTGTCTGAGTGAATGTGAAGGATTATTTTGGGAAAACGAAGGAAGCAATAATCCATCTTCTAATAGTGACTCATTGTTTTCAGGCCATTCTTGGCTCTTTCTCATCTGAAACACACGAATAAAGTACACTGGCAAGGCAGTTAGAGCTGTTGATGTAACAATATTTGGAAACTACCATTAATAGAGGGCAGTGGATTCTGGAATATTCTCCGGTCTTCCAGCAATGTTGTTGCTTTTATTTGGAGGCCCTCTCCCTTCTATGCTCTCGCTCTGTCTCCATTGTTTCTCCACCAATGAATCAAGAGCTTCTTATTCACTGAATGAAGCAGACACTCTGCTAATTCCTGCAGAAAATTTTCTTTTTGCATATAATTTTCACACTCTACATTGGAGTGGTTTTCACTCCTCGTTGCCACGTTTTTTCAGGGTCTACTGAAGCAACTACCTGGCTGCCCAAACTTCTGGGAAGTAGCCTTGCAGCGCCCCCTGGCGGCCATTCAGAGAATGGCTGCGCGCCAATGTTTCCCCGTGGCCTGAGGTCCTGATCTTGTGCCTCCAGGATTCCAAACTGTTGGAAGTTGGGACAGATGCCAACCTCGGCTCTGGGAGAGTCAAGAAAGCCCCACCCTAGGCAATGGAGAAAGGCCCCCTCAAAAGCAAAAATGGTAAATGGGGAAATAGGACAAGGGTGATATGCCTTGGGTTTCAAGGCTTCCTCGGATTTGCCTCTCTTGTAAAACGGTGGTCACAGTTGGGAATCTCTCACCATTGTTGGTTCAAGATACAATGCATGCAGTGAGGTGTTCTTTTTAGTGGACTGCTCTGCGAGTTTCCACAGATATATAACACTCTTCACCGCTACCACAGTGAAGCCAGGGGACATGTTCACCTCCTGGAAATTACATTGCAACTGCCCTTTCTCCACCCCAATTTCTTGTGCTTTTATTGTTTTCTAGAATTTTGCTTTTCCCATGAGAACGGCCAAACATGGAATCATGTACACAAATTTTTATGGAGTGATTTCTTTCCCTCTGCTGTCTTTAAATTTTAAAAATTATATCTAGTGTGTTGGGGGTGAGGGGGTTGGGGTCCGAACTGGTGAGAACCGAGTGGGTCCTGGAGACTGAGAGCTGCAAACCTGTTTCCACAGCACCGACAGCTTTCCAAACTGGATTACTTTATAAGCACACTTAACTTGAACTTTTAGTTCTCCAGCTGGAGGTGTTGGAGCTGTCCAGCAAGGGCATTTGCTTTGAGGTCAGCTGGGTATGGGAAGCGGGAGAAACCCGTCTCAGCAGTGATCCTGGAAATAGCACAGAGTCACAGAGACTCGGCCAAGGCCTGGTGAACCTCAGAGCATTGCTGGCCCTTACAGAAGGAGACGTGTGTGGAGTGGAGCAGTCTGTTTCCTCCCAGCTGCTGTGTGCCTATACCACCGTCCATTTCTACTGCTGGGGCTGTGACATGCTCAAGTGACTGCAGTCTGCTTTTCATTTCTTATCTCCATGCTCGCTCCACATATCACACAGAGGCCAGCATGGTGATTTTATTCGAAACAGTGACAAGCTGATCATGTCCAGCTGAAATTACTTCCAAGATTTCCTTAAGGTGAACCTGGCCAGCAGCCCATCTGCCAGGCGTGCCCCTGCCACCACCTGCCTGATGCCGCTCCTTTGTGTCCCCATGTCCCCTTTCTGTCCTAGGACCTTGATTCTGTTTGTGCCCTCCTGCTTAGCTTGCTGGTCCTCTCATCTTGATTCATATTTACTCCTTTGGGGAAACCTGGTCCCTATCCCTATGTAAAACTTAGGTCCCTGTTGTTCACCCTCAGAGCCCTCTGGCCTTCTCTTCCTGTTTAGCATCCAGTTTGTTGGCAGCTGTGTCCTCTACTAGGCTGTAAGATCCACAGGGGTACTGAGCCCATCTAGTTCACCATAGGGAGCCCAGGGCCTGAGCACACTGCTTGTTGCATCAATAAACATCTGTCAAATGAATGGATGCTAATACCTGATATTTAACACTCATCAGGTACTAGGCCTGTACAATAGCCCTTTAACTGTCCTGTTTAGTTTCCACATACTTTACAACACTCATTTTCCCAAAGGGGAAGCTGAAGAACGGGATGACTTTGGAAGTCCAAAGTCTGGTATCCGAGCTCCACAGCACCCCCGCCATGCTGTTGTCTTGTCAAGTGACTGAAACCAGTTCTTCTTGTTTTCTTAGTGAAAGGATACAGCCCCAAGGCCAAGGCGTTTGCACATAACTTGAACAAAATGAAGCAGACTAAACTCACTGTGGGCAGCCTGGGACTGGGCCTGATCATCATCCAGAATGGGCCCTACCTCCAGATTAGCCACCTCATCAACAAAGGGGCTGCAGCCAGTGACGGAACACTCCAGCCAGGTGACTGTGGCTTTCACTTGCCTCCTTTCCACCTGCCTTCAGAGAGTCAGCACGAGGATAGGACATTGGCTGAGAATTTCCTATGGGCTAGCCAATTGCTGCCACGTGTGTACACATCAGTTAAACGCTATTCATCTGGTTCTTATGACACTCTCGGGAGGGCCTGTTCTTACTGTCCTCCTTTTGCAGGTGAGGAGACTGAAGCTTAATGGCAGAGACCTCCTCATCAGGTTCACTTTCATCCAGTAAGCGGGATGCAGACACAGGCCCAGCATCACTACGCAGCTGCACATGAAGATTTCTTCTTTCCCGGGAGGTGCTAATCATGGCTAGCCTTTCAGGACACATGATCTCATCTCACCTTCTCAACAGGGGCATATTCTGCACCAAACCACTATGCAATATGCAGATACTCGGGAGCTTGCCTAGGAGCTGGAATTTAACACCCCCCCCCCCAGACTCCAAGCCATAGGGTCTCATCAAGATCACCTCACTTTTCAGGTCTCTGGGGGAATGCCTTTTCTATCCAATGCAAGACGTGCTTTTCCAGTATTGCCTTGGGCCCTGGTGTGGTACCCAAGAGTGGGAGATGCAGAGTGGGATGAGGTCATGAGAGGGAAAAACCACTTCAGGCCATCTGTCCTGAAATCAGGTCCAAGACCTGTCACTTTCTCATTCTGGGACCTTGGCAAAGTCACTTAATCTTTCAAGCCTCAGGGACCTCATATTTAATTTGGGAGAATCCCATCTTTGTTCTAGGTTGTTAGGATTTGGTAAAATGTTGTGAAGAGCTTTGAAAACAAGTACTCCAGAAACATTGCCAATTATTTCTCATTCCTATGGCTTCACTATAGCTAGTTGTCTTTTTTTTTTTTTTTTTTTTAATGTGTGTGTGAGTGGTACAGAGAGGCCACAGTCTGATGTTGCGGTCTTCCTTTACCGTGTTGTACCTTAAATATTGAGGCAGAGTCTTGCTTGAGCCTAGAGCCTGCAGTTCACAAGCCAGTGTGCTTTGGATTCCAGGTGGGCCATCACCCCACCAACCAACCATGTACCTGTGATTCTGGCTTATTCAGCCCACTGAGCTCCTCCCACTGAGGAGCTCTGGATGTCTTTGGAAAATGTGTGTGTGTGGAAGAAAGAGTTCACTTTGGCATATGTTTCTAGAGGGAGAGCCCGTAACGGCAGGGAGGCAAGGACAGCAGGTGGCTGGAGCAGGAGGATGAGAGATCCCATCCGGCCATGTGCAGAAAGCAGAGGGAACAAACTGGAGGTGAGGTGAGCCTGTAAGCTCTCAGAGCCCAACTCCAAGTGACAGATTCCTCCTCTGATGAGGCTCCTACCAACTGGGAAGCAAGTTGTTTCAATAACTGAGCTGGGGGGGGGGGTGTGTGTAGTTCTAATTCAAATCAGCATATAAATATAGTGTGTACTGATACATGATTATGACAGAATCTCAGGACGAGGCTACAAGTAGAGGGCTCTCAGAGGTCCAGAGCAATCTAGAGTTCAACTTTAAAAATCATTTTTATGGTTAATTAGTGTGTGTGTTTCAGAGCACATGAGCGGCTTCAGAGTTCACAGGGCGTCAGATCCCTTGGAGCTGCAGTTATAGGCAGTTGCGAGCTGCCTGCCGTGGGTGCAGGAAACCAAACTCAGGTCCTCTGGAAAAGCAGCAATTGTTTTTAACCACTGAGTCATCTCTTCAGCCTCAAGTTCAATTTTCGTTTTTCCTGAGAGATGGTTGCTCTGTATAGCCTAGGCTGTCCTGGATTCACTCTGTAGACCAGGCTGGCCTCGAACTCACAGAGATCTTCTTGCCTCTGCCTCCCCAAGTGCTGGGATGACAGGCGGCCATCACCTGTGCCCGGCCTCGAGTGCAGTTTTTTTGTGACTTATCTACACTGCTGACCCATTTATTGTGTTACCCTTAAGGAATGGACAGTGAATGAGAGGATCTGTCCCAGGCATTGCGCAAAGTATTTACACTCCTAGTCAAAATGTCTGCAGTACTCCTGGAATGCAGACCACGGAGTTTGGGCCCTTCAAGAGGTGAGATGATCTGTGCACTGCCACAGCTAATTAGGGACTACATGCCTGTCACCCCCCCGCATTTGGAAGGTGGATGCAGAAGGATCAGGAGGCATTCAAGGAGGCTACATGAGTCCCTGTCCGAAAACAACAACACAAACATTATGCACAAGTTATACATATAAAAGGGTATATATGATATGTATATATGTATGTATATGGGGAGAGAGCACGTCAAAGTACAAGGATAGCGGTCAAAGATCAGATTTGAACCCATGACCTCCTAGAAAACCCATACCATATTACCAATGGCCTAATGAGCAGAAGTGAGATTTTTTTTTTTTTTAATTTTTAATTTCAAAACAGGGTTTCTCTGGTGAAGCCCTGGCTGGCTCTCAGCTGTTCTGAGTACCACATCTCTTCATGACAACCAGTTACTGTTCAGTTTCGAGGTTTCAAAGTCTGCTTTTCCATTATTTTTAACAGCAATCATGGGATTTGCTATTTCCTTGATACCTGCCCCCTGTTATTTCTCACTCACAGGTTCTAAAGTTCTTTGTCTTTGGTGTTTTATCTTGATTTGCTAATTTGGTGCTGGTTTTCTGTGGCTGTCTGATACACAAAGCCGTAAGCTATTACTACAGCTTTAACACATTAATGCAGCTTTGACGGTGGACAGTAGCCATGTACTGGCTTCACTCATGCAGTTAGTAGTATCAGGCTCATTCACTCACTCGCTCACTCACTTATTCATTCACCTACTTATTCATTCATTCCTTTTCATGTGTAGGTTCTATGGTTACTAACAGCGGACAGCCAAACAAACATGATCCAAACAACATGAAGTGTATACAGCTTCCATCTTACCTGGAACAGAGAAAAAGAAAACCTATCTTTCAGTAATGGTATGGCTGCTGTAGAGCTGATTCAATATAGGCAATCCAGACAGGCTTATAACAATGTCATGCTCACAGCCTATTAACGCAGAAAAAAAGTTCATGATGAGGTTGGTGTCCATAAATACCAAATTGGTGTCTATGACAGGCAGTGTTGCTACCTTTTGCCAGAGCAATCACATTCTCACCCAGACACATTTGGTTTACAGCCAGAATGGCCAGGGAATTCAGCTATTTATTTTCTGTCCTCTTGGTAAAAGTCACCCTCTTATAACACAATTAAGCAGACTGTCTTTTAACATCATCTTAAGAGGGTAACTTTGTTACTGTAATTAACCTCAGCAGGAAGAGCAGCTGTTTCATCCTGAGCAGCCTGAAGGTAGCTCTGAGAGCTGACTTCTGAAGCTGGCTTCAGGACATGCTTTTGTTTTTGTTTGCCTTGCCTTTTGAGACAGTCTCACCATGTAACCCAGGCTGGCCTTGAACTGTCCATCTTTCTGCCTTAGCCTTTTGAATACTGATTTTACAGGCATGCACTACTGTGCCTAGCTCTGTATATGGCTTGTGTTATCTACTTTTCAAAACCAAAGCAGAAGGATTTCTCAGACTTTCTAAGTACTTACTTTCTGGAACAGCAGGAACTTTTGTTTCTCATAGGATCTGGCTCTAGAGAAGTGTCCCCCTGGCAGTGCTTGAACACTCCCTAAGGGTTAGCGTAGTTGCTGACCAGCCTGTACTGGGATGCAAGAGCCTCCTCCTGGACCCCTCTCTCTGAGCTTGTGTTTCAGTGTCTTGGTAAGAGGGTTGTTGGGGGTCCAGGCTTCACATGCGCACACAGGGAACATGTTATCCTCATCAGTTATAAAGTCCCAATGGGGGAATAGAGGAATGAAGAAACTACAGACACTGCGGGAACCGCAGACACTGAGAAGCTGGAGTGGGTGGGTGTGCACACTGATGTCGGGAACCACCCATGTACAGCACAGGAAGGAGGTAGCTAGTCTCAGTAGGAGGTGTCTGTGACTAGGCAGTGTCAGGTTGCAGTCACCCACGAGGAGGAAGCTGAAGTTGCTAGTTTTTGCACACAGGTCAAAATGTTCATACTTGGACCAGTGGAAGGCTCTGGGCTCTGTGAGCAGCCTCATCCGGGGAAGGCATGGCCACTTCCACAGGTATCGGAGTCCTTGAGATGGCCTTGTCCATGCCAATACTACTCTCAGGACCTTTCATTTGCTCCCCACTGAGAAGTACTGAAAACTAAGACTTTCCCCAGAGTGAATCTGTCCTTTAAGGGCAAACCTGTATTGCTCTTTAAGGGCTTTGCTGAATATTAATGTTCATGCTCCTTATTGCAAGCCACAGGAAACTGCGGTTAAGGCACCCTATTTAGGGCAATGTCTGACAGAATTGCCAGAAAATCTTCAGAACCAGGCTTGGATCAAAGGGTCTAGAGATCCCGGATGCTCCTGTCATCCCAATGCAGGTTCAGTGACCCAGGCAGGAACACCTGGTGGCTAGGTTGAGTTTATAGGTCTTCATCATAGCTGGTGGGAGTGAGGAGTGGGGCAGGTTAAGTCCATACAAGTGAATAATTGATCCTTTCAGATTTTGTTTAGAGGGTCTGGGGTTCTGTTGTTAAGATACAACTGTCTTTCCATCTGCTGAATACTCAGAAGCTCCATGTGGGCGACTATCATGATTCCCTGTGAAGTATGTCTTAAATGAGGGGTCTAGCTGAGTCTTCTGAACCAGTTCTGCAGCTTGTGGTGGGACTTGTTGAAGAGTTGGAGGCAAGAGGGGAGCAACAAGCTTAGGTTCCTTGGAATCAGCACAGTCTGTATATGCATGCCGTAAGCATAATGAACACAAGCTAATTACTTAGTGTATCATGCAGTTATCTGCCCGATTTAATTTAGGAAGGGGAAAACTCAAACAGAAGCCTATGTGCCTAACTTAGCCTGTTTGCTGTGGAGGGGCCCGTTGAACCCAGGCAGGCAGGATAGCAAGAGGCTTCTCTGAACTAGTTAGAGCCACTCCTTGTTTTTAATGTTTAGAATCCTAAATCTAAATGGCTTGGGTTTTAAATGCTTTTAGCCTCTGCTAAATCAAGGATTTCAGAAATGTCCCCCAAATACTATTAAACAGCTATTAAGAAACTTGCTTAAGCATCTTTATCATGCCAAGAACACTCATGCCAGAGGAGTGTTCTTGACTCAAGACTCAAGCTGGGCTTTGGTCACAACGAACCAACATATGAACCCATAAAATATTTCAATAAAGCCATTATGGCTCTTTTCAACCCATTATTTTAATGTAACTGTTTTCCTTTTTCAGGTGATGTTCTGTTTAGTGTTGGACATGCCAATGTGTTAGGATATACACTCCGTGAATTTTTAAAGCTTTTGCAAAATATCACCATAGGAACAGTGCTGCAAATCAAGGTTTACCGCAACTTTATTGACATACCCCAGGAATGGCAAGATGTATATGATTTACTCCCCGAGACTAAATTTCCAATCCCACAGTAAGTAGTTTACTTTAGGACAGTGTTATGAAACCCAAGCCTGTGTGTGAGGTGCAAGGTTCTGGTTAACATGAGAACCATCAGATGGTAAAAGCCTTGGGAGGAGGGACTGGTGACGCTGCCAGGGCGTAGTGAACTACATTCTACATAGGACATTCCGCAGGACCTCACATGAGGGAGTGTTATAAAGGCGACTTGGACCAGAGACTGAACCAGCAGTCTTTAATGGGGACCCTGTTCCCAAATCTATCTGCACTGTGCCAATACAGCCTGTCTAGCCCTAAAACACAGGTTAAGATGGGGCTGGGGCACCAGCTTAATGGGTGAAGTGCTTGTTGTGAAAGCACGAGGATTTGTGTTTGTATTCCTGGCATTGTGGAAAGGCGGAGTGTGGTGGAACATGCCAGCTGTGGCAGGCCACACAGAAGAGGCCCCAGAGTCACCCAAGGTAGTCTAACCCAGCTGATGACCTGCAGGTTCAGTGAAAGATCCTTTCTCAAAAAGGTGGAGCATGACAGACAAAGATACCTGATGTCAACCTGACTGCCACAGGGGCATGTACACAGTGTTGAGACTCCTTCTTCCTCTTCTCTCTCTTGCATTAACTTTCTGCAAGCTTCTCTACAACATTTATGCCTGCCTTAGACTGTCTATTACTGTGATAAAACACCATGACCAAAAGCAATTTATAAAGGAAAGGGTTTATTTTGCTTAAACTCCCAGGGTAGGAACTGAAGAAGAGAATGTGGAGGAATGCTGCTCACTGGCTTTTTCAGTTTGCTTTCTTATACCATCTAGAACCACCTGCCCAGGGCATAGAACCACCCACAATGGGCTGGGCCCTCCCATACCGTTCATTAAGGCAATACTCCATAGATCTGCCTACAGGGAAATCTAATGGAGACATTTTTCTCAATTAAGATTCCCTCCTTCCAGATATGCCTAAATTTGGGTCAAGCTGATAAAACCGACACGGCACAATGCCCTTTTGTAAGCCTCTCCCTTCTTAGTAAACACTAACTCCCCTTCTCTTTCTGTTCCTCTTGTCCCAACTTGAAGAGAAAGCTATTAGAGGTCTCCATTTTCTCAGGAGACACACGTCCCAGGCACTCCAATATAGGCATTGCTTTTATCTCTTACCATCTGAGGTCTATCCCAGATCATCTGCCACCTTCATACTGTAATTCCTGCTAGAGGCCATTTCTAGCACACAGGGTAAGCCAAGCTGGGTCCTAGTGTCGGCGATGACCAGCTGGTGGCTGGTATTTCTCTCTATACTTTAACTCTTAATCTTTCAGGATGGCAGCCTTGCTCTCGATATACAGTTTAACTCTATATATACAGTCTAACTATACAGTTCAACTCTATACACAGTCTAACTCTACATAGACAGTTAAACTCTATATATAGTCTAACCCCAGGGGCTGCTGGTTGCAAGAGCTCTAAAGGAAGAGGTCGTAGAGAATTGAACCCTGAACCTTCAGATTCAGGGTCTGGAGCTTGAGATCAATTGATAAATTGAGCTATCCAGGCCTGGTTTCTTTGCTACCAAAACAGCTCTCTGGCTAAAACCTTTTATTGTTTAACAGCAGAGGGTCTTAATAGGGTAAGCCAGTGGCTCTTTTAACTCACAGCCTTGACAGTTTCTTGGTGTAAATACAAGGGGCTGTAAAAAGAACCACCTTAGTTCCTTTTAACTTAGTGGCTCAGCAGTGAACAGCAGCTGGCTGAAAGGTAGTGATAATTAAGAAGGCAGATGAAACACTCTGGACTGCTTATCACTTACTAAACTTTGAAGCATGTGAAAACATACACATTTAGCAGACAAAGCAAGTGGAGTTTTACTAACCTCACACACATGCAATCAACACACAAAACAAGGAAGCTCCCAAAGACACCACTCATCCACATATGTAAACATACAGATTAAATATATACATATAAACATACATACAGACAGACACATTTTTTGGATGGAGTGGGTGGCCTCAAAAATGTTTGTCTTAGGCTCTTATACTATCTAATACAAAGGTTCTCTGTGTAGGGAAAAATTACCTCATTCAAAAATAGATATAATCATTACATAAAAGCGACTATTGATCCTAATATCTAACTAGATACTTTATTATAAGTTTGAAGCGGTGGTTTTATCTATATGCTCATTATGAGTTCAAAGCAGAAGTTTTCTTTGTATTTCAAATGTACATTATGTGTTCAAAGCAAGTGTTTTATGTCAAGGTTTTTCTAAGAAACAGGTGTCTTGTCTTGTATAGCTAACCATTTATTCTTTGTTTCTATATTAATGTGGGTTTTCAAATTGTGGTATACACCTGGGCCTTATGCTAAGACTAAACCTAGAATTAGTGCATCTCCTTGATTATTAATTTGTTTCAATCTTGTTTTCCTTCCTGGTGTAATTCACAGGAAGGTTCACAGAGCTGCTAGCAGTTTTTGTTACACTGCAGGAGGGTTTTAAAATTACTCGATTCAAGTCAGGAATTCTTTAAAAATCATCAATTTGTTTGAACAGCACTATGAAGGTACATCTTCAAAATAATCTGCAGGAAATCTGCCCAACAGAGTGAAGCAGTAAGCAGTGAGGGTCTCAACAATGCCAGCTATGAGACAAGCATGAAAAGGCAGTATAGCAACAATAAGTACTCCTGAGGCAAAATCCTTGGGGCCTTGCCTACACCAGGGATATACCCATTCATCAGCCATGAAAAAACGAGTGGGCTGACTCCAGGAAGCTCACTCGCTTGCTTCTGCCAATCCAACATGTAATTGCTCCCAGCAAATTCCAATGGAGTCAAGTCTTTATTTTGTTCACCTTAGTTATATATTTCCTCATTCATTCATTTTATTAAAATTGGTTTCTCTGTGGTTTTTCTATGGCTGTCATGAAACCTGCTATTTCAATGGAGTCAAGTCTTTATTTTGCTCATCTTACATATTTACTTATTTTTATTTATTTATTATTAATTTTTATTGGTTTCTCTGTGCAGCTCTGGCTGTCCTGGAAATTGCTCTGTAGAGCAGGTTGGCCTCAACCTCAGAGATCTGCTTGCCTTTGCCTCCTGAGTGCTGGGACTAAAGCTATGCACCAACACTGCGTGGCTGTTTTGCTTTCCTTTTAAGTAGCATTAGACTCTTTACAACTACCCAATTCTTTTATCCCCACCTTTGACATATCTTCCCCAGTTTTCTGTGAGACCATGCTCTGCTGATTTTCCTTTTACCTCTGGGTTCTTCCTCTTGGTATTTTAAACAGCTGTCTTTGATTCTTCTCAGTTTCCTAGGTTGTCCCAGTGGCTGTGGTTTCTGTTACTGTCTATACACTAAGTACTTGCAAAGTACTCCATTTATCTCCATTTAGATGGCAACCTCCTCAAATCTATCCTTAAAATCAAAAGCCAGTTATATTTTTTTTTCCCATTTATGTGACCAAAATACCTGTCAGAGTAACTTACAAAATCACTTTGGTTCATGGTTTCAAAGGGTGGTTTTGTCAATGGTCATTAGTCCCAGGTGCTTTGGCAGAACATGATAATGGTGAGAAATGCGTGGTCGAAGAACTTCACTTCATGGTGGCAGAGAAAGGAAAGGGTGAGGGGCAGCATAACTCAGAGAACATTCCTCCAGTGACTTATTCCCTAGTTAGGCTCTACTCCCTAAAGTTTCCAACTCTCCAAATTCCAGCAGCAGCTGGGACCAAGTACTCAGCCCAGGGCTCTAGGGTACAATTCGTACCCAAACCACAACATCAGAGGTATCCTACTGGGATATTCTGCCTAGATAAGAAGGGTTATGTTTGATTCTTCTGTCTCCTCTGTCAGCCACTCAAGCAGCCACTAAGACTTGCCAGTGTTTTGTATCTCATCACAGTGGCCACTTTTCTTCCTGCTACCATTGTCCCAAAGTCACCATTTGATCATCCGCTTGTCTTTCACTCTTTACACAGGATGACCTTACATAATACAAATATGACCATGGCAGATTCCATCTTAGGAACTTCAGAACACTTGTTCTTAGATAAATATCAAAGTCCTTAACTGTCTCTAGCACTTTTCTGTGGCCTGGATGATAGCATTCTCATTCGGTTTCCCCATCCCTCTAGTCCTCTTGGCTTTCAGCTTTTCACACTAACTTCTCTGCTGTCTACACCATGCTTACGCTGTGTTCATGTCTACTCCAAGGTTCAGTGTAAACCGAGGAGCCGTCCTACAGGGAGTGTTAGGACAGCCAGAACCACCAGTCATGTGTGTTCATAGCACTGTCTCTCTACAGTGACTCTACTTATCCGTTGTTTGCTTCTCTGGGAAAATGTAAACTCCATGAAGGCAAGAGTTGATCTTTTTTAAACCTACCATGGAACTTTCCCAGAATGAAAAATTGACAGTCCTTCAACTAACCCTCTAAGAGCTTGTCTCTAACAGGACCACAGGTACCCTGAGGTGTGCTGGGGTGCTTAGGACATGGCACTCTCTACAATGTGAAACCTAGTGCGTCCCTACAAGAGTGGCCCTTAATTTCAGCAGGATCCTGTAGCTGTGCTAAGGATCAAGACTAGAAAATGACCTTTATACACTAGATGCTCCAACTTGGAGCCAAGGGTCAGATGAAGCCCACAGGTGTGCTTTGCACAGCTCCCGCCTAGAAAGAGCAGTGACTTGGCAAGGAGGGTGAGTGGGAGGTTTAAACAATAGCCAGACAGTATTTCTTGACCAGAGAGGTAGCCATCAGGGTTTTTGTGATTTTTCATTTTTATTTTTTTAGTTTGTGCTTTTCTGCATATTTTAAAGAGAAATTTAAGTGAAAAGTATTTGAATTAGTTGCCAAATCTACAAATACTTCATGGGAAGAATCACTATCTCCTGAAAAATCAGATGGGCCTGTGTTCCTATGTGGTGACAGCACAGGCTTGAGTGGGAGAGTTGCTGCCGCCTTCAGATGAGGTAGACTGGAGAAAGGGTCTTTCTCATCAGCATTTGGCCATAAATCATATAGAGCAGCAAACACTTCTTCAGTGCTTACTGCATGCTGTGCTGCAACGACTTCCTAAGCACGGCACTATTTAACCCTCTTGTCATTTCTTTTTAAGACAGGGTCTCTCTATGTAGCTCTGGGTGTCTGAACTATACAGACCATAATGGCCTTGAACTTACATAGACCTGCTTGCTTCTGTCTCTCAAGTTCTAGGATTAAAGGGGTGTGCATGTGCTACTACAACTGGCTCTTGGCACCTGTCTCACTCACTTTAGAAGAAACCAAGAGCCCAGAAATGTGTATAAGTTTGCCACATGGGGCTATTAAGCACTTAGATATACACCTAAGGAATTTTAAATTTTAACCAAATGAAACTAATTTAAAATCAACAGTCACATGGAGCTGGAAGCTCTCATACAGGAGATTGTTATTTTCTAAGTGTTTTATTTATTTATTGAGACAGGATTTCTCTGTGTAGCTCTGCCTGTCCTGGAACTCAGTAGATCAAAAGATTTCATTTAAGTATGTGTATATTTGTATTTCTGTAGTTTATGAGTCAAAGAAAGTCATAAAATGTCTTATTATAGGACTTTAAAAGTTTAAATGACGACTATCCATAACTCCAGTTTCAGAGGATCTGACCACCTTATTTGACATCCTTGGTCACCACTATACATGTAGCCAACACACACACACACACAAAACACTCACACATATAAAAGGATAAATCCGAAAGTATTCAAGCATTAAGAATCCATTTCAATAACACTTCAATGATGTAGAAAGTAATAAAGGTAACTGTGATTTTGGATTTTTTTTTTCTTTTGGTTTGCTTTGTTTTTCGAGACAGAGTTTCTCTGTGTAGCCTTGGCTGTCCTGGACTCATTTGTAGACGAGGCTGGTCTCAAATTCACAGAGATATGTCTACCTCTGCCTCCCAGAGTGTTGGGATTACAGGCATGGGCTGCCGTGCCTGGCACAGTTTTAAGACGTTTATAACAAAGGAACAGTGGTTTTAATTTTAAGTGTGTATATGCGTGTGTGTCTGTCTGTGGGAAGATGGGAGTGCAATGTCTGTCCACAGAGGCCGGAAGAGGGTATAGGGTACTCCAGAACTAGTTACAGGCAGTTGTGACCTGTCTGGCATGGGCCATCTCAGGGTTTCTCTGTGTCGCTTTGGCTGTCTTGGACTGGCTTTTAGATCAGGCTGGCTTTGAACTTTTTTCTTTTTACAAAACAAAGTAGTTTATAAGATACTCTGTTAGGGGTCTTTAACTGTTAAGATAGTAAGAATATATTGTATTCACTGCTCATTTCAGCACACCAAAGAAAACAACGCAGACAAAAGATGAGTCTTTTGTAAGCACTGATGACCATGAAGATGCAGTTTTAGATAAAAGACTTAAGTATTACAGATCTCCTCGGTCAGTCTGGAATCACCCTGTAAGGACACCAGTATCAATCTCCACAGAATGGCATGGATATAAAAAGAAGGACCATACTATTAGTGTTGGGAAAGATGTTAACTACGGTGTAGTAATTCACAAAGATGACAAAGAACTGAGGACCCCTTCTCCATACTGGACAATGGCAGAGCAAGACAAGGCCATCTCCTCCTCTTCTTCCACTGAGACTTCCTCCAACTCAGATGTCTTTTGCCTGGAGGACTATGCACAGGTTGAGGAGGGCAAAGGTCAACAGGTATCAAAGTCTGGTTAGATACTGGTTTGCAAATCTGTGGCCACAGGACTTTTTATTTTTAAATATCCAATTTTTAATGCCTTCCCATGTGCAGGTCTATAGATTTCCTACATGACCTACCAGCTCTTCTATGACTGCAAAAAAACCCTTCACAGACCTTCTTCCATTAACAGCTGAGGACTTCCCTGTGGTCTAACAGGCTCCACAGAGCTATTCTTAGAATCATATCATTCACTCAGCTTGTACAACATCAAGCAGAAGAACCCAATCATCAGAATGGCTGAACACTTGTCCTATAAGGTAAAGTTTTCTTTGCATTTTTTGGGCTGGCTGTTTACATTACAACCCCTGCCCCTACCCTTTCAGTGACACTTTTACTTGTAATGTCAGGTTGAGAGTTATTTAAAGGAGACAGGACTGAAACAGTGAGGAAGAGACAGGAGAGAAAACACTGCCACAGAGAAGGAAAGTTAGACATAAATGAAGGAACCAATTGAGAGGATGGTCCTTAGAAATGCCATTTTACTGCAAAGGGGACAAAACCCAGGCCGTTCAATTACTGTTATCCCCAAATGAGCAATTAATTTTAAACCTGTTTTTATTTTAAAAGCCACCAATAATAATCTGGAATTTTTTACTTTTGGAGCTCCTTAGCCTCACTTCAAACAGTTTCTGAAATTTCTTAATTGAGTAATTGGTGAACTCGATTACTATATTACTGTCTTCTTGAAAGCATTTACAACAAAGATCTTAGCATATAATAAATACCTGTTGACTGCCTAGGAAGAAAGCAAGAACGACATTTACACACAGTGCTTTATTGGCTCTGGGGCAGCTGGGAGTAACTAGCCACATATCTGCTTGTAAGTTTTACTTCACTGAGAAAAATGTTGAATGTTAAATTAAGACCTGACTCTGATGTGTCTGCTGGTCTGGGCTGAGACTTGAAGATAATGCATCTGTGTTACAACTCGTCAAGAAAAGGTGTATGTCCCAAGTTTCCACTTGCTGCCATTGACTTCTTGCCAGAAACAAACTTTTTTGCAGCCTTAAATAAAACATAAAAAGTTAAATAATGTTATCACCAACTAGATAAATATTTTATTTATGGTCAAGACACTGTAAGACAGCAATTCTATAATACAGCTTTGTAAGACATGGAAAGACAGCTACTGGTAGGCTGCACTTTGTTTTGTATTTTAATGGCGAAAGCCCTGGGTCAATCAAAACATCCTTATTGTTAACATAAAAGTAAATTTCAATGCTTGGTGTCCCTTTATTTTGGAAGAGGGGCTGTTGGTGGTGGTATTGAGAGAGTATGTATGTAATCTAGGCTGCTCGAAACTCACAATCTCCTCACTTTAGCCTCTAGAATGTTGGGTGGTTCTAGGCATCTGTAATCACGCCTGGCTTTCTGGTAGTCTCCACATCACTATTTCAAATTCAAAGTGTATATTAAGTGTACTAGCATAGGGCACAGCTACGCAGAGCAGGAGCTCCTCCATTATCCCAGGTTAGCCTTTCTGATGCAAGAGAAGGTGGTGGAAGTGGGTGAGCAAGGATCCACACAGCCCTTATATGTAAGTACACTATCTATTATCACCACACAAAGGTGGGAAGATGATGGTTCAGACACCTACAAGAGAAAAGGGGATGGTGTCTGTACTGTAGAAGCTCCACAGAAGGTAGATTTATACCGGAGTTCACCTTATTAGCACTCAAACAACTCAATCTTTTTTTTTTTTTTTTTTTTTCTTTTTTTCCTTTCTGTGGTGGTCTCAGACAGGGTTTTTTCTATGTAGCCCTGGCTGTTCTGGAACTTGCTCTATAGAACAGGCTGGCCTCAAATTCAGAGATCCACCTCCCTCAGCCAGCACTGCATAGCTGTAACAACTCCAATCTTATAAAAACAATACCATTTAAGAGGGGATGAGGAAAACTAGCAATAGAAGGTCTTAGGCTGAAAGAACATAGAAAACTGTGAGATTGCATGGTAAAAGGACTGGCGAGGTGCTTCTTGTGTTGAAGAGGAGCAGCAAGTGGCCATGAAACCTCCTGACCTTAAATTGAAAATGTCTCAGCCTAATAGGCATTTGCTTGAATGAGGAAGATACATTCACCCAAGCTGCTAGGAAAGCTGTTTGCAGACATGGTGAAGAGCTCTGCTTTCTGCACCAACACAGGCCCCAAGGAAATGGATGCAATTCTTCTGAAAGTAGATCACTAAGGTAAAACTATCTAAGGTTCAAACAAATTTCATTTGCTTACCTTTATGACATCAGCTTCAGCCACTGCGTCAATATGTTGAAGGACGGTGGATGGTGGCATATAAGAACCGGCAATTAGGGCCTGTGACCCGATTTCACTCAGGAAACCCTCTGAAGTCTCCATGGACATTAGGTACCCAGCTTTCAGTTTGTTCCTGCTCAATAAAAGGCAGGAGTCAGTTTATCTTTCCATCTATCTATTTTTCTTTCTTCTTTCTTTCAACGGCAAGGCAGTAAATCTATTTCAGACAGGCTAAGAAGTCTTGTATTTATTCACTTCAGCAATATTTTTTATTCACATTATTTGGAAAGCTGTTGATACAAAACAGTACTCGAACAGGTTGTCCTTTGATCTTAGAGTACACCTTAAGTAAAACTTTTAAGATGAATTTTAATCATGAAGCAATTGTTAACTTATGAGGAAAAAAATGTTTTTATTGCTATTTTTTTTTATTTTTTATTTTTTTTTTGAGATAGGGTCTCTCTATATAGACCTGGCCGTCTGAATCTCACAATGGCTGGCTTTGAACTCAGACATCTGCCTGTCTTTTCTTCCCGAGTTGCTAGGATTAAAGGTGTGCACCTCAATACCCAGTTATGATTATATTTTTATTTAGTTATTTTGATCTTACCTTTTCTAGGCCTTTCTAATAAGAAAAAAAATACCTACTTACGTGGACTCTTAATATACCACCCACTTTGGCTGATAATTTTACACACGCAGGAACCCACTGAGCACCGAATCCCATTACTCCAGTGCGATTTATTTCAATGAGGAAAGGGCATGATGGAGAAGGCAGGTGGGAAAGTATGGTACAATACAATGTCATCTGTGCCCCCACAGCTTAAACATGGCGGCAAAAGCTTCACTTTGAAATAAAACACACTCAATTCACAACTATGCTATAAGAACTGTTATTCTTTGGAAACACGTCATCAAAGGGCATCTGAGTTATCTATGCTGGGAATGAATTACTAGAGATAAAGGTACTTGCTACCAAACATAATGACCCAAACTCAGTCCCTGAACCCCACATGGTGGAAGGCGGGAACAATTCCTCCACGTTGTCCCCTGGCCTTCACATACATGCCATGGCATGGGTAAGCCCAGACCATACAAAAAAAGAAAAAACGCTGGGGCAGCAGAAATGGTTCAGTGGTTAAGAGTTACTTGTTGCTCTTGCAGAGGGCCTGGGTTTGGTTTCCAACACTCCCACAGTGATTCCTAGCCATTGGATCCAGGGGATACGAACCCCTTACTGACCTCTAAGGGTACAAGGCACTACATATATGTTGACAGGCAAAATAAGCAGACTCATAAAATAAGTCTAAACAATTTTTAAAATAACTTATTTTTATTTTGAGCATTGATTAGTGTTTTGTCTGCATGTATGTCTGTGTGAGGGTGTTAGATCACCAACAGTTGTAAGCTGCCATGTGGGTGCTAGGAATTGAACCAAGGTCCTCTGGTAAAATAGCCAGTGCTCATAACTGCTTGAGACATCTCTTCAGCTCCCAAATTTTTCTTTCCTTTTTCTTTCCTTTTTCTCTTTCTTTCTTTCTTTCTTTCTTTCTTTCTTTCTTTCTTTCTTTCTTTCTTTCT